CCCTAAATTCCTTTTATCAGTACTCCTTCCTAGACAATTACTTCCCATTCTGTATGTGTGAAACTGATTGTTCCTTCCTAACTAGAGTACTTTGCATTTGTCCATATTAAACTTCATCCTATTTGCTGAAGATCATTTCTCTAGTTAGTCCAGATCATTTTTTATTTTGAATCTATCCTACCCAAAGCACTTGCAATCCTTTCCAGGTTGGTATCATCTGCAAACTTAATAATTGTACTCTCTATGCCATCATCTAAATATCTGATAAAGATATTGAACAGAACCAGTCCCAGAACAAATCCCTGCAGAACCCCACTTGTTATACCCTTCCAGCATGATTCTGAACCGTTAATAACTACTCTTTGAGACCAGTTATCCAGCCAGTTATGCACCCTCTAAGAACAGTTATCCAGTCAGTTATGCACCCACCTTACAGTAGCCCCATCTAGGTTGTATTTCTCTAGTTTATTGATAAGAAGGTCATGCGAGACTGTGTCAAATGTCTTACTAAAGTCTAGGTATACCACGTCCATGGCTTCTCTCTTATCCACAAGGCTTAATATCCTATCAAAGAAAGCTATCAGATTGGTTTCACATGATTTGCTCTTTACAAACCCATGCTGGTTGTTACCAGCAGATAACCCCTGATTCTCTAAGTACAATACATATTCCAAAACTCAAGGAATGGAAGTAGATACAGGAGAATCAGATTGTCCCTGCATTTAAATCGGAAATCTGGACCACTTTATGTGGTAACAGTTTCTAGTAGATTGTCTTCAAGAGTTAAATTAGTATGCCCTACACAGACTAAGAACATGACTGTTTAAGGGCAGATATAGTCAGAGTCCTAACACCCACTCCATCAAGAAGAGTTTGAGAGATCCTGCCCTCTTGTTGGGATAGGAAATCAGGGGGACACAGGAAGACACAAAGACTGCCAGACGGTTAAAGGAGACGAGTAAATCACTGCTGAGGTGTCCAAGTGGCCCAATGAATATCATCCTTACGTTGTCCCAATAGGTCTTCCTTATTACCTTCTGAATCAATCAGTCCAAAAAAACTTCACTTATGTCCACACTTCAATCATGTTCTTTAGAAAGAAAATCGAAAGAAGAGAGGGGGTTTTCTGGCATTGGTAAACCTCTTTCTATGAGGAAGAAGCCTTTTTCCAAAAGAGCTCTTTCGGAAAAAAGCATGTGTGGACAGGGAAGAGGGAGTTCATTGGAAAGAAAAGGGAAGAGGAAAAAGCACAGGCCCTAGTAATCACATCTTAAATGTGAGATAGTGTCCACACTGAATAGACGCTATCTTTTGAAAAAGCAGAACACTTTTTCGATGTGCTTTAGCACTATGGACACTCTATTTTGGAAGAAGTTTTTTCAGAAGATCTCCTCTGGAAAAACTTCTTCTGAAAGAAGCCTGCAGTCTAGACATAGCCTCAGAAACAGATTGAAAAGAAGCAGGTGTAGTCCACATGGATTTAGCCCACTGTAGCAAACCATCCAAAATCGATTGGGATACTCTGTTCCTCAAAATACTCCTGAGGATATCAAATACCAGGTGAGAAATCTCTTCCAGAGGTACTGCAGGAAGATTTAAAGTGGAATTTTGCTCCACCAAGTCATTGAACGGTATAGCATCTTCAGAAGAGGAAGAGACTGAAGCCACCCCCAAAACCATCCAGTGATGAACCAGGTTCATGGTCAGTTTCCACATTTTCTTGACCAAAGGGAGGACCTACCTCCTCATTGTCGTCTTCAGACAGCATTTCAGGCATCACTGTCAGTTATGACAATGGATCCAGAGGAGTCAGATCCAAGTATCTATGGACAGCTAGATTAAATGTTACTTCTCCATCCATTTGGAAGGTAATTTAAATAATTCCTGAGGTAGCCCCAATATGGCAATTTTAGGGCCCATGGCCTATCTCCCCTAGCAACTAGGGTTTGGCAATGTGTAGGAGGTAGATCATAGGATGGTACAAAATGAGCCACTGTTCTCTGTATCCTTCTTCTGTCTTCTTCCTAGCAAGGAGGTCTGGATCCAATATAGAGTAGATAGCAGTAGAATGGAAGGGAAGACTAGGGAGCCGCCATATTGTGGAGATCCTGCATAGAGGTTCTAGGAAGAGGAAGCAAAAGATCTTCCAGGAGAAGTCCCACAGTGTGTTCTGGCCTCTTCTACTTAATGGGGACCAAGGAACATGATCTTTGGACAAGGGGGAAATGTCTCTTTTTGGAAATCCAAGTCTCTCCCCTCAGAAGCAATGACACAAGTGAAGCCAGAAGGTGAACCTGGGCTGCCACAGTAAGAGAGCTCTCCAGAACCAAAGATGTAGCTGGAACAGACCCAGGAAGTGACCCTGGATCCAAAGACGTGACATCAGATACAACATTTGACACAAATCTATTCCCCTTGCTGCCGAAGATTGATCTTTGTTTCAGAGTCATAGCAGTCTTGCCAGAATTTAACAGATCTGACAGTACAGATGCACAAGAACCAGCACTGCTAATAGAAGCCATTTATCTCTGTGCCATGGCAGAAAGAACCAAAGGCACTGATGGTCCAGATTTTGACACATTAAGGAAATCTATCTTCTGGATTCAGAAGTGGAAGTCAGAACTGGTCCTGGTCTTGCAGCTGCAGGTGTTCCATCAAGGTCAGATACCTGGGAGGAACAAGGTACAGCACTGATGAGGGTGGGTGAACTCTCTCTCAACCCCTCTTCTGGAACTAGGACTATTGCATCTGACCACATGGCCCTTGGTTTGGACATATGTAGGCTCAGGGGCTTGACGGGAGGAGCCACAGGCATGGAATCTGACCATGACAGGGGTTATGACTTCTTGGAATCTGGCAGCCAGTTTGTACAGGGATAAGAGAATGGTCTCTAGAGTTATGATCTGAGGCCTGATTGGGTACACATGGTTTAGCGTCAAGGCCTTCCCTTAAAAGAATGAGCTGCAAGTTTCTCTAGGAGAATTTTTCTATCAGGCACTTGAGGAACCCAACATGGTCACTGGATGCTGGGAAGGAAGAACATGTCTTAAATCCCAGCTTCCTCAGTTCCTCTATAACCCAGAACCAGGAAAAAACTTATACACAAACTGTAGTGAACAAACTATCACTATTTCTAAGCAGAAAAAACTACCATTTGAAAGAGGCTGGAGAGGTTCACATGCATCCAGACATGTGGTTGGAAAGAATTGGGTTGGAGAAAGTATTTTGCCACTTTTATAGTATAACTCTCAGTACATGGGGACACTGAGGGGAGAGGCAGAGGGGAACAGGAGAGTTCTACCTGAAACTGCTGTAAGAGGTTTTTTTCTAGAGCTGCACAAAGAACAATTTATTCTTCAGATCACAGAATGGGAGGTCATGTGTCACAACAGACTGGGAAAATGGTTTTAGTTCATTCCTGTCTCAAGGTATTAGCTCTGGTTGTAAGTAGGTGATGCATCTTTTAAAATAATGCCAGAAAGTATTCTAGTTCTTTCCCACCCAATTAAAAATTGATGTCATTTTAAAAAGACTAATACGCTGTAGATTCATCGTGCATGTCTATTGAGTTACTGGGGAAAGAAGGATTGAGAGGATGGAAGGGCTCTGAATTCCAGTAGATTAGTAAATTTAAGTTTGCAGTTATTCAAAACATAACATAACCCACCCACTTTCAGTTATTTGCTCCATTATGTCATATGTATGGTGCAAGTCTCTTTATTTGCAGTTCCTCTCTACTGGACATACATTCACATATTTGTGAGATGAAATGGTTGAGTTGCCAAAACGTCTGGTCTGAAATTTCCAGAAACACAAGTCTGAACCCTATCAGAATTGACTACCATTTCTCCTGCTGATAGCCACATTGGACCAGATACTCCCCTTCTACAGAAAAATTGACAAAAGCACTAGGATCTTTCCTGAGGTTCGCCACACAGAGTGCTGGAAAAAGAAATCCCTCCCTGGGCAGGTTTCTAGAGGTCCACTGTAACAGGTTATGTCTCCCAAACACCTGGATTCTTAGGCTACATTTAATCAGCAGAGCTGGATCTTCCAGACCCTCTCTCTCCACCCCTCAGTCTCCACACAATCTCTGTCATGTGGAACAAGGAAGAAGGACAGTACTGTAGAAAGACTGATAAAAAGAGGTCAGCACAAAAATTAATTGCAGCAAAAAATTTAAGCAGCCACTACTGTAGCTGGAAATGCCTTAATATAGGAAGGACTAACAGCACCAAATACAGTATTTTATGCCCTTTCTTCTTCAAATAAGTGATACTTGCCTTTTAAAAGGCTTTTATTTAAAATGCTACTGTGGCTTAATACATTTTTCCAATTATTATTACTAATTTCTATAGCACATATATAGCAGTGGGTACAGTAGATTTTAAAATGAACACAAACACCAGCCTTTTGTCTTGACCAATGTTGAAATACTTTTAAAAGATTACTGTGTGTGTGTTTTAATCAAATATTGCATGCCATCGTATAGCAATCTGGTTTGTGAAAAGACTACATAATTCCAGTATGTGCTATCGATATGGGATAATTAAAGAGATCAAAGACTTTCTCCAACAAGAGCTCACTTCTTTAATTCAAGCTATTTCATACAATTTGATCCACTGTTTATACAAGGATGGCAGTAACAAATGCAAGTAGGAGGCAGTTACTGATGTCAGCTTCCTCTTGAGACACACATTTAGGCTAAACTTTTTGTTAAAATAAAATCTATAATGGCAAAAAAGCTACTTGGAATTTGTCAGATATATCTGCCAAACAAGCACACCTTTAAAAAAAATGATATTGGCAAGAAGCATTTGTAGCACTACTGGTCCTCAAAACACAGAGGAAAATGCTACAGGTAAGATGTTTTTATTTTTGTGTAGAATATCTGTAGCTTGTTTAATATTTGTCTCTATACTTACAGGTACAAGAGTTACTATATGGGGTTTTTTTTGGCTCAATTAGATATCATTGCTCAGATCCTTAATGCAAATAAATTTTGGCTCAATTAGATATCACTAGAAGATGTACCCAGCATTGCTCAGATCCTTAATGCAAATAAGTTTTACTTTCCTTCATTTATATCATTCTTGGGTACGGCTGGGGATGAGGGGTTGAGTGTGCAAGCCACTCTGGGGAGAGAGGACAACTTGAGCTCACTGTCACTGCAGCAACTTGGGGCCAGGTGAAAAGCACCTGTCCATGGCCATTGCAGCTGCCATGGTCACAGACAGAGGAAGCATGCATGTCCCCCAGCTGAGACACAGACAGACAGACACACAAACTCTCTGAAATATATAGTAGATTCTCTAGTTTGGCCACATGAGATGAGTGTGCTAGTATGATTAATGGCTGTTTGACTCACTATTTGTGAGTACCTGCAAATTGCAAGGTCCAGGGTGTGTACAGAGGTAAAGGACCCTCTTCAACTGAAGAATTAACCCGTTAATGAAATGAATCATGGGTGATAACGTTTTCATTTATTTTCTCCAATTTAATACAAGTTTAATACAAGTTTGAAATTTTATTTATAAATAAAAGCCAATGAAGATGTGATATTCCAATCCCAAGTCATAGGTTGTGGAATTTCTCTTAGAGGTATCACCTAGGGTTAGTTAGCATAGGTGAGAATCTAAGCAAGAGTATCTTCCTCTTCCCCCTATTAAAAGGTCAGCTTCAGGAACCAATGAAATTAGAGGCACCAGAATAGCTGGAGACAGGATTTTTAAAATGTATTTTTAAACAAGGTGTTGATCAATATTAAAAATTAAAAAAGCAGTATGACTATTCAACTATTGGTATAACTAATACTTTTAAGCCGAGTATTATCACTTAAGAAGCAGTTTTTGTACCATCCTTGAAGTGGAAGTAGTGAGTGCTTTCTTGCTGTATAGATGTCAAAACAGAAAGCTCATTTAAAATGTTAGAAAAATTCCAGTGTGCATAGGATATTCTACCCACTATTTCTAGTTACATAAAAGAATAAAACAATATAGTTTAGACTCGGGAGTACTAAATATAAAAGTACTGCAATTCAAACAGTCTAATATGAAGCAGGTTTGCAAACATTAGCTTCATCATTCAAAAGTAGCAAAAATCAAAAGTCTGTCTGATCTATCTACCAGTAGAGTCCACCGAGATTTTTTAAAAACCAACTGTAAAGCTTAATTGTTAATAATTTAAACATTTTAATCCAGCCTAAACATGTAATTTTTTAATGTAGCTTATTACACAACTTTAAAAGTCCTTTCATATGAATTTTCCCCCAAATGGATGTAACAGGTATTTCAAATCCTACCCTAACATTTAAAAACAAACAAACAAACAAACAAAAAAAGCAAAAGCCTCTGCTGAGAAGTATCATTAGCCTCCTGATAGACCATAGCCTCATTCTCTAAACAAATATTGAAAGACAGGTTAAAAAAATCAGATATCCAGACATGATGAACTTGTTTAGCTATTTAAGCTATAACTAAGCACTACAGTTTTCCTTTTATGCTTTAGAACAAAGCATTATTCTTCTTCCACTTGCTAAACCACTCTAAAGTCCAGGTGTATATACTGTTAATTGATTTTAAAAACTACAGCACAATATACTTTTTAAAAATGAAGACTACTGAATAGATACATATTTCCTTGTAGTCTCTCACTAAAGGCCAATAAACAGACTGTTGTTTGTTTGTGCATTAAAGATCAACTGTAAACACTTTTCTTCAAGATATTTCCTAAATGCACAAATTCCCAAAATTAATCTTGAGGGGGAATTTTCAAAAGCTCAAAGTATTGCTGGCTTTTGAAAATAGTTATCCTTGGGTATTATCATTCATTTAATCTATTTTGCGTTTTCTTGGTCAATGAAGTACAGACCCCAGGCTTAAAATTTTTACTCTTGTACAGATGTGCAGTATACACTAGTCTTGCAACACCTATATCATTTTATTAGCCTTCAGTCAGGCATAGGTAGGTTTACTTTTATTCAAAACTGAATGAACGTGATATTATTATTTTATAGGAATAACACACAAATCAAACTCACTCAGTGCCAAGGGAGACAAAGTACATTTTGTCAGAAAATTATTTTAGTTTTGAGGGCATTCATTTTAAAACATCTTTTGGAAGAGAGTACTTTCAGTTTATCTTTAAAATGAACAAAAGCTATCAAGACTCTGGACCATAAAGACAGGCAACAGTATCTTCTGTTTTTCTGATGAAACATGTAAATCTAGGCTTTCAGTTACAGCATCAATTCATCACTGGGTACATAAGCTTAAAGATATTCCAGAAATCACCTTCTGTTCAATAGGGGTTTTTCATTAGTAGGTTCCCCATACTTTTTATACGTGAAATATTTGGATCCATCTATGATTTTTCCATCCACAACAGAATTAACAACATTCCACCATGCTTCAGTGTCAGCAAGGGCTCTTTTCAGTCCAGGTACCAGATGATGATTGATGAAGCTGTCAGGCCTACAGTAGCGGATAGAGCAGTTTGGCAGGAATTCAGTGTTATTGAAAGAAAACTCAAATACTTATTCCATCTCCTCTGCTAACTTTAATCATATTATCAACATGCTGCCAGGAATGGAGCCTTGACACCAAGCCATAAATTTACACAGGCAACCATTGTCTGCATAGTGTAGTTACAACACAGATAATAAGCAAGTTCTGTTTATTTTTACCTGCTTTTAATTTTATATTGCATAGTAGTTAAAATAATATTAGAAAGATCTTCCTGTCACTCAGATGAGCTTGCATCAAGTTTCATTCAGTTATTGCATTTAATTTCACTTGGTTTACAAAAGGAAAATTTGGCTACGCTAGTCAGTTTTATTGCTATTATATTAATTTTTTAAATTAAAAAAAATCACTGTGATGACAGGAGGTTGCAAATACTCCTTAATACACATTAATAAGAACACAAATTAATATTGAAGATGCTTCATTTTTAATGCCACTTACTCACTTGCCATGCTGACAAAAACAGATCTTTCCTCAATGGTTTTAAGGTAATTACAACACATTTTAGGTAAGTCCCAACACAGGAGCACTGCTCATCCTACTGAGAGCACCAATGATAAGTTAAATACTTAAGGTAAATACTGTATCTGATAAAGTGATAATGGAAGGACTGTTTTACAAGTTATCTTTTTTTTTTTTTTTTGGCAGGTGAGGGTGGAGGAAGGCTTCTCAGGACTGTAAACATTGTTTCCTCTGACCTCACAGCCACTCTTGTAATGACTATTTTAGAAAGCAATCAATATTTCCTCTTGATTTCATAATGGTGCAGCTAAAACTGTACCTGAGTAACACATTCTAGTTCTTACAGAACCTACTCTGTTTTGCAGGACATGTTGGTTTTTCTCACAATAACTTGATGAGTATGCGTACACTCTAATTTCAGCCAAGCATGGCTTGCATTTATAATACCTGCTCTCTAGGCAGTGCTGAGGGCTTATATAGAGATAGCAAAAACTAAATTAAGATTTTTTTCCCCTCGAAGACAAGACTGTCTTCAAAAACCAAGGAATTGTAGTTTGCAACTCCCTGAATTGATGAAGCCATGGTATAAAAGTAGAATACCATTTCTAGACCTGCCTGTCCTAACAAACTAAAAGAGTGATATACCAATCACCTTGACCACAATAAGATTGCAGAGGCACTTCAAGTTGGGAGGTATGCAAAACTCTTCTTCCTCAAACAAACGTTTGTTATAGTTACAAGAGGATGGGTGGGGGAGGGATGTTGCCCCTATTTTGATTAGGCTTTCTGAAAGAATCTCGGTGTTGTTCTGGTAAGTCTGCAGCAAGAGAGTATTGGCACACAAAAAAAAATCACAAAGAAAAAGGTCTTAAAAAGAAGCATATTTAGCCAAGTCCTTCTCCATTTCAGCATATTGTTCTTTAAGGCGTTCCATAGCTTTTCTGTGCTCTTCATCCACTTCAGCTCGTTTGCTGTGTTGGTCTTTCATAAACACCTCCCAGTGGGCTAGATGCTGCTTTTCGCCAGCCATTAGTGTGTCAGTCTGAACCTGAGAGGAGGAGAAAGGAAAGTTATAAAAACTGTTTCTAGATGAAGACAGTGGGTTAATGCAGACTTGATGAACTTACATAGACAAACATAATAAAGAAACCAGCTTTCACTATAGCACCAGAAAGTAGAAATTATGTTCATCTAGTCACACTGCACAAGACAAAAGAAAAGTGATAACCACGCAGCCTCATCACATAACCCAGTAGCAATCAAAGTGTTGTCTGTGGACTAAAGGTCCAGGATCGTCTTGCAGCGGGGAGCCCATGTTGGCTCTCCAACCCTACGCCCCTCTGTGACGGTGATTTGGTGGGTCCCCCTGATCATGCAGCCCAGTAGCAGCAAGAACAGACTCAGACAGCCAGTAGAATAGAGAGGGTTTATTGCTTCTCCGGGATACAGCACAGCACAGACGTGATGTGGTTACAGGAGTCAAGGCCAGGATGCCTCAGACCCCTGAGATTAGGGGGTCCATCGCCCCACCCTAGACCCTCAGTCCTCAGGTTAGGTTGTTCCCTTCATGTTTTCCAGCCAGAAACTGACCCTTCCCCCAACACAACCTTCTTTTGTTCCATCCCTTCCCATAACCAGTAGAACCAGTTCGGTCACTGTCATGGGGGCCCTCAAGGTGCCCCCCGCTGGGCAGTGCTTACAGACAGAAGCCAGAAGGGGTCATCCACAGCCCAAGCACAGCAACCAGCAAGGTACTGACACTACCTCATATCCTCCCAGTGTCGTTGGAGTGCCAGCTTCCCAATATGGGGTGAGGGATCCCAGAGCCATGTGGACTGGATCCAGCTCACGGGAGGAGCATGGTGTGCGGAGCCAGGTAAGTACTCCCATCCCCCTCATGCCCAGACCCTGCATACCCATTGCCTTCACACACACCCTCTGTCACCAAGACCCCGCACCCTCATCCTGCTCCTATATCTCCCTCATGCCCAGACCTTGCATCTCTGCCTGCACCCCACCTCTTGCTGAGACCCTCCACCCTCAGCCTGTTCCTGCATCCAACCTCCAGGCTAGACCCCCATTCCCAGCTCTCTCCTACACTCAAACTACTGGGTCAGACCCCCACCCACTCAACCTACTCCTGCACCCTATATCCTGCCCCGATCCACACCCCCAACCCGCATCTGCACCTCACCATCTACCCAAACCCCCATCCTGCTCCTGTATCCCCATCCCTAACAGCCCCTTCCTGCACCCTGAGCCCCTCATTTTTGGTCCCAACTCCAGAGCCTAGTGGGGCCCACACAATCTATTAGCCCTGGGACTCCAGAAGAGTTAATTTGGCCTGTGCGGAGCTTCGAACCTCTGTCCTCCCTTCCCTCCTCCCTCTCCCTATGGGGCTGGAGTGTTGAGGTGTGTGAAGTGTCTCAGTTGGGGGCCCCATTAGTGAGGGTTGGGGGGAGTTGTTATTTATTTTTTTGTTTTTAATTTTTGTAAGGCCCCTGAATTATTTTTTGGTGGATCAGTGACCTCCAACCCAAAAAAGGTTCCCCACACCTGCCATAAATTAAAACAATGTTGAAACCTTTTGTTTTGGACAAAAAATAATATTTTACTGTATTTAAAATGAACTTTTGTAAACTAACATGATAAAGTTAAAGTGTTTAATCTGTTTAATGATTTTGATGTATAATAGTTCCTCTCTTACCGGTTATATATGCCCCCTTATAATATAGCTGCATATTTACTTTTTTATGCTCCAGTAGCCTAATATGAATAATATAGTATTTAAGGTATTTAAAGATAAGCAAAGGCATTCTGTCATCATGGGTGGTTGGCTGGTAGTCTGAGGAAAGGTTTGCATTAAAAATTTGGAAAACCACTGATATAACCAATGACAACTTGTCTCCATTCTAGTCTAGTCACCAAAAAATAAAAAATAAAATAAAACACTAAAGCTAGTACTACATTTCAGGCATAATCCAAGTAATTTTTGTTATCCAATGATGATAGTCCATGGTACAGGCAGTCCCCGGGTTACGTACAAGATTGGGACTATAGGTTTGTTCTTAAGTTGAATTTGTATGTAAGTTGGAACTGGCTCCAGATTCAGCCGCTGCTGCTGAAACTGACCAGGGGCTGACTACAGGAAGCTGGAGGCAGAATTGCTCTGCCCCCAGCTTCCTGGAAT